ATTAGAAAAAGTTGAAAGGTTTGCAACGAGACTAGTCCTGGAGCTAAGGGGCATGTCTTATGAGGAGAAGTTATGGGAAATCGACCTGACGACACTGGAGGGGAGGAGATAGGGAGAATACGATAACGACATAAAATACTGGAGGAGTGATGTTAATGTTGCAGTTTTTTAAAATAGTTTAAGCAATCTTCTGGCAAGACAGTGACAGAGTGAATGATTAATAAAGTTTTTCTTTTTCTGGCCAACCTGCCTTTGTGGGAAACGGCCAATATGTTAGCAAAAAAATATAAAATACTGAGAGGAATCCACAAGGTAGACAGAGACAGGGTGTTCCAGAGATGGGACACAGCAACAAGGGGTCACAATTGGAACTTGAAGACTCAGATGAGCCACAGAGATGTTAGGAAGGATTTCTTCAGTCATAGAATTGTCAGGAAGTAAAGCCCCGTGGTTCGATTCCCGGTGAGGGTAGAAACATTGTGCGTGTTTCCTTACAACTGGTGTCCTTACACCAGTTGCTCACCCATCTGTAAAATGGGTACTTGGGTGTTAGTCGACTGGTGTGGGTCGCATCCTGGAACAAAACTGACCTAATTTGCCCGAAACGCTCTGCATAACAATCGGCTTTCTATATGGTAATATATCATTGATGTCAGCTAGGCCTGTATACCTTGTATATGTACTTGTAGAAATAAAGATATTATTATAATAATAGTCTAAGAAGTGATATAGTGGAGGCAGGATAGATAAAACACCTCAATTACTGGGAGCGCTTGAGGTTCCTAAACCTGCATTCCATGGAACGCAGGCGGGAGAGATACATGATTATATACACCTGGAAAATCCTAGAGGGACTAGTACCGAACTTGCACACGAAAATCACTCACTCCAAACCAACAGATACAGATACTAATGCCGGAAAAAAAATCCCCCCCCCCCAGTACCAACAATACCACCAGTCCGATGACATTCTTCTTGGCAAATATACAGGGTCTAAATCCAGCAACAAACAACAAAATACCTTTCATCCGTGGACTGCTTGCAGAGGCAAAGGCAATGTTCGCGGCTTTCACTGAGACCCACATAAAGGATCACTTGGACAACGAAATATGGATCCCAGGTTACAACCTATACAGATGTGACAGAGTGAACAGGAAAAAGGGGGGGGGGTTGGCCTGTACATTGCAGAGTCACTTGTTTGCACAGAACTGCTAAATGCCTCAAATGATGTAGTGAAAGTTTTAGCAGTAAAGGTCGAGAACCAAAACCTAGTCATTGTGGTAGTCTAGTTAGTTAGTTTAATATGTTTATTATGCACCCCATACCCATCCTGTGGGCGGTAGTCAAAAGATTACAGAGGTACATAATTGGTCCAGGGACTGGACTCCAAAGTTTTGATAGCTGAGCAAGTTACAGAGGTAATGAACTCACAATTTACAAAGGTAATGAACTCACAATTTACAAAGGTAATGAACTCACAATTTACAAAGGTAATGAACTCCAGGTAAGTCTGGTCACAATCATGACAAGTTACAAAGGTATTTACAGATTACAGAGGTACGTAATGGGTCCAGGGACTGGGCCCCCAAAGTTTTGATAGCTGAACTAGGTACAAAGGTAATGAGCTCACAAGTTACAAAGGTAATGAATTCTGTAGAATGGTTACTTACGTTTATACTTTGGCTACAATCATGAACAAATTATAGAGTAATGAGCAATTCACACTTCCACACCCGGTCACAACTGTAGTGAGTTATTGGTGCAATATTGATTGTTGAGTCACACACACCACACACACACCACACACACACACACACACACACACACACACACACACACACACACACACACACACACACACACACACACACACACTTTAGTTTAATATCTTTATGCACCCCATACCCATCCTGTGGGCGGTAGTCAAAAGATTACAAAGGTACATAATGGGTCCAGTGACTGGACCCCAAAGTTATGATAGCTGAACTAGTTACAAAGGTAATGAACTCCAGGTAGATCTGGTCACTAATCATGGCAAGTGCAACATCCCAGCAATTCCAGGAACAGCTGTTAAAAATTGACCATTGTCTGGAAAATCTTCCAGCTCCTGTACCCAACATCTTGCTCCTGGGGGATTTCAACTTAAGGCACCTAAAATGGAGGAATATAGCAAATAATATTGTTGCAGTAATAACACCAGTAGGCAGCTCTGATGAAAACTCACACTCACACGAGCTTTTAAATCTCTGCACAAAATTCAATTTAAACCAACAAATAATAGAGACAACTAGACTGGAGAATACACTAGACCTCATCTTCACTAACAATGATGATCTGATAAGAAATGTCACCATATCAAAAACAATATACTCAGATCACAACATAATTGAGGTTCAAACATGTATGCGTGGAGCCCCAGACAGACATAATGAGACTAGTCACGAGGGAGCATTCACCAAATTCAACTTCAATAACAAAAACATAAAGTGGGACCAAGTAAACCAAGTCCTAACCGATATAAGCTGGGAAGATATACTAAGCAACACAGACCCCAACGTATGCCTAGAACAGATTAACTTGGTGGCACTCGATGTATGCACAAGGCTAATTCCTCTAAGAAAAAGGAGGAGTAGATGTAAAATAGAAAGAGACAGGCGCTCCCTTTACAGGCGACGGAAAAGAATAACAGAGCGGCTAAAAGAGGTCAATATTTCTGAAATGCGTAGGGAGACACTGGTCAGAGAATAGCAAGCATCGAACTCAAGCTAAAGGAATCTTATAGGAGTCAGGAATCGCGGGAAGAACTAAAAGCCATAAATGAAATCGAAAGAAACCCAAAGTATTTCTTCTCCTATGCCAAATCAAAGTCGAGAACAACATCCAGTATTGGGCCCCTACTTAAACAAGATGGGTCCTACACAGATGACAGCAAGGAAATGAGTGAGCTACTCAAGTCCCAATATGACTCAGTTTTTAGCAAGCCGCTAACCAGACTGAGAGTCGAAGATCAAAATGAATTTTTTATGAGAGAGCCACAAAATTTGGTTAACACAAGCCTATCCGATGTTATCCTGACGCCATATGACTTCGAACAGGCGATAAATGACATGCCCATGCACTCTGCCCCAGGGCCAGACTCATGGAACTCCGTGTTCATCAAGAACTCCAAGAAGCCCCTATCACGAGCCTTTTCCATCCTATGGAGAGGGAGCATGGACACGGGGGTCGTCCCACAGTTACTAAAAACAGCAGACATAGCCCCACTCCACAAAGGGGGCAGTAAAGCAACAGCAAAGAACTACAGACCGATAGCACTAACATCCCATATCATAAAAATCTTTGAAAGGGTCCTAAGAAGCAAGATCACCACCCATCTAGAAACCCATCAGTTACACAACCCAGGGCAACATGGGTTTAGAACAGGTCGCTCCTGTCTGTCTCAACTATTGGATCACTACGACAAGGTCCTAAATGCACTAGAAGATAAAAAGAATGCAGATGTAATATATACAGACTTTGCAAAAGCCTTCGACAAGTGTGACCATGGCGTAATAGCGCACAAAATGCGTGCTAAAGGAATAACAGGAAAAGTCGGTCAATGGATCTATAATTTCCTCACTAACAGAACACAGAGAGTAGTCGTCAACAGAGTAAAGTCCGAGGCAGCTACGGTGAAAAGCTCTGTTCCACAAGGCACAGTACTCGCTCCCATCTTGTTCTTCATCCTCATATCCGACATAGACAAGGATGTCAGCCACAGCACCGTGTCTTCCTTTGCAGATGACACCCGAATCTGCATGACAGTGTCTTCCATTGCAGACACTGCAAGGCTCCAGGCGGACATCAACCGAATCTTTCAGTGGGCTGCAGAAAACAATATGAAGTTCAACGATGAGAAATTTCAATTACTCAGATATGGTAAACACGAGGAAATTAAATCTTCATCAGAGTACAAAACAAATTCTGGCCACAAAATAGAGCGAAACACCAACGTCAAAGACCTGGGAGTGATCATGTCGGAGGATCTCACCTTCAAGGACCATAACATTGTATCAATCGCATCTGCTAGAAAAATGACAGGATGGATAATGAGAACCTTCAAAACTAGGGAGGCCAAGCCCATGATGACACTCTTCAGGTCACTTGTTCTATCTAGGCTGGAATATTGCTGCACACTAACAGCACCTTTCAAGGCAGGTGAAATTGCTGACCTAGAAAATGTACAGAGAACCTTCACGGCGCGCATAACGGAGATAAAACACCTCAATTACTGGGAGAGCTTGAGGTTCTTGAACCTGTATTCCCTGGAACGCAGGCGGGAGAGATACATGATTATATACACCTGGAAAATCCTAGAGGGACTAGTACCGAACTTGCACACGAAAATCACTCACTACGAAAGCAAAAGACTTGGCAGACGATGAAACATCCCCCCAATGAAAAGCAGGGGTGTCACTAGCACGTTAGAGACCATGCAATAAGTGTCAGGGGCCCGAGACTGTTCAACTGCCTCCCAGCATACATAAGGGGGATTACCAACAGATCCCTGGCAGTCTTCAAGCTGGCACTGGGCAAGCACCTAAAGTCGGTTCCTGACCAGCCGGGCTGTGGCTCGTACGTTGGTTTGCGTGCAGCCAGCAGCAACAGCCTGGTTGATCAGGCTCTGATCCACCAGGAGGCCTGGTCACAGACCGGGCCGCGGGGTCGTTGACCCCCGGAACTCTCTCCAGGTACACATACCTTTAAGAAGAGGTATGATAAAGCTCATAGAGCAGGGAGAGTAACCTAGTAGCGACAGCAAAGAGGTGGGACCAGGAGCTGTGAATCGACCCCTGCAACGACAAATAGGCGAGTACACACACACACACACACACACACACACACACACACACACACACACACACACACACACACACACGCACGCACGCACGCACGCAAGCACGCACACACACACACACACACACACACACACACACACACACACACACACACACACTTACTTAACATTGTTGAGCATCTCGGAGTTAGCGTGTCTGATACAAGAGTGTAAAAGAGCAAGAGAGCCGCTGAAGTTGGTCATCTTGTAGCAGATATTTTGCGCAGTAAGGTTTGTATGGTAGTTATAGCAGCTTCTCTTGTAATATGCTCTTGGTGGTGCTACTGCAGCTGGCTCTGGGTAAGGTTTCTTCAAATGGTCGTCAGTGTATAATACAAACCAAATGACAAAAAATAAGAGAAATAAAACTTCCTTTGGTTGCTTCGAATGTTGTGTTTTCATCGTTTTGTTGTCACTGTTTAAAAGTTATTGTATTTGTAGTCACTCTGAGACAATCAGTGTACTCGTCACTAAAACAGTCTTAGTATTTGTTGTCACTTTATCTGAATCTCTTTTATATTAGGCTTATTCATGGTTAAATGCAGTAAACCGTTGTATTACATGGTAGTTACGTTCCTGAAAATTCCATGTTAAGTAAATCCATGTTAGATAAACAGAAGAACTTATGGGAAAAATAGGTTCACATTCCTGGGAGCCCCAAAAAAAGCCAAGCAACTATTTTTTAGACCTCCAGATCTTACAAAAATAAAAGTGAATATATGTAATTGTTGTTCACTGTCGTCCTCTTCAAGGGGGCTCCCGTTGCTTCAGTGAAGAGGCTCTTGGTCTGAGGAATTTGACCTTTTAGTATTCTTCCTCAGACCAAACCTAATTATCCCCAATCCCTTGTTCTCTATCCCATCCTCCCCACCCCCTCTTTCCCCTTCCTCCTCCTCTCCCCATCCCTTCCCTATCCCTTTCCTGTTTTCAGCCTTAGGAATTCTTCCCATAGACACTGTAGTTCCTAGACATGGGGAAGGGTACTGTGGTCCATCCCATTCTATTGAGGTCTTTGGTGGTGGTGAAGATTTCTGTGGAATCTGTATTAGGTAGGAATGTCCCAATCCCTCTCCTGTCTCCCTGGTGGTGGCTTTGGGTGTCTTTCGGGTGACAGGTGTATCTCTGGAGGCTGCCTTTCAGATTCCAGGAAGTGGTGGCCAAAGGAGGTATGCTTTGTGGTGGATATCCGGCCGCCCTCTCTTTTGTCCACTGAGGTGGCTATCCCAGATTGCTGGTTTACTGGCATGAAGGGTAGAGTATGGCATGGGTTTCATGCCGCATCTGCATTGCGAGTAGTGCTGGGGTCCTCATGGGGGTGGAAGGGGATTTGTGGGCCTTTCATTCCTCCTAGGAGTTATCCCTCCATGTTCCCCCTTTTTTTTTTTCTTTCATTTTTTTTTATCTAAAACACAAAAAGAAAGAAGTGACATGAATTACCAAACCCATGAAGTACCTCCTCCTATGGCCCCTTTTTGCTACCACACGCTGTTGCAACCCTACCTCATTATCTGACCATTCTTCAGACCTTTCTAATGCCTCTGTACCTTCTGCTGGTGCTGCTTCATCACCCACTCCAGGTACTGAGGTTCCGCCTGACTCCTTTGATACATCTGACCTCTGCACTTCTTTGACCATGCTTCCAGCTATTCCCTCTACAGTACGACGATTTTTGGATCGCCAGCTCTTCACACACTGAACCACTTCCAGTCCTACACCTAAACGACCAAGACCATTAATTGATGGTACCACTTCACTTATTTCTCACTCTGCCCAAAAAACATCAGCACGACAAAATACACAATGAACTAAGCTTTTACTCTGCAACTGACTTTTTGTACTGACTATCTTTCAGATCATAGTATCAGCAAGGCGCTCCTATGCCATGTTGGTCGAGATATTTCATTTCATGCTCTCAAGAGCGGTGCACGCATCATGGTACAAAATGCTAGCGAAGCTCGGGATCTTTCTCTCCTTACAACTATAGATGCTGTTCATGTAATAATTGAAAAACATTCTCTCAATTCTTGTAGTGGTATTGTCATTCTACCTCATACTGTTATCCAACATAATTTCCAGACATGTGGTGATGACATTCTGGAATAGCTTGAGCTTCAAGACCTCCCAATTCTTAAATATTTATGTACTGCCTGCCCGCAGGCGAAGACGCTACCCCGGCAATGTAGCTCGCTTAGATACATATGTATGTAATGCCTTTACCAATAACCACTCAGTTATCGCCATTTTTTTTATCTTGAGAAGGCATACGACACAACTTGGAGATATAACATCTTGGCCCAAGCTCCGAGGCAATCTGCCATTTTTTTCCCCAAGAACTTATCTGAGAGACATTTCTGTATTCGTGTTAATAATATGCTTTCCCTGGACTTTGTCCAAGTTGAAGGTGTCCCCAGGGATGTCCTGAGCACCACACTTTTCTCCTTGCTATAAATGATCTGACATCTATTCTTCCATCTAATATTTGGTCGTCACTCTATGTTGATGACTTTGCAATAGCTTGTGCAAGTGCTGACTGTCCCCTCATTGCAGTTTCTCTCCAGCATGAAGTCAGCCGTTTTTTCCAACTGGGCTACTGCTCTTGGGTATAAATTCTCTAGTACTACAGCACACCAAATTACTTTCACTAGACGTTCTATCATTTCTGGTAATCCATTGTACCTGTATGGCTCGCATATCCCAGAACATGATACTGTTTGACCGTCGGTTATCTTGGAAACCTCACATTACCTCCTTGAAGGAAACTTGTCATAGCCGGCTGAACCTCCTTAAAACCCCTGCTCATCTTTCATGAGGGGCCGATCGTAGAACTTACTCTGCCCTAATTTTATCGAAACTAGATTATGGCCATCAGTTATATTCAGCGGCCTCTCCTGCAACTCTTTCTAACCTTAAACCAATCCATCACCAGAGATTACGTTTATGCCTCAGTGATTTTCGCTCTTCACCTGTCGAGATCTTCTATGCAGAAACGAATATTCCATCCTTGACAGATCGTCTTGATGTTTATTGCCTCCTCTATTTTGTTCGCTCTCATGACCTCCGTACTCCTTCCATATATAGGATAGTAACGGATGTTAGTAGAGGTTCATTATTTGTTCTTCGCCCCTGTTTACTCTGTCTCTTTTCTCTTCATTTACATTCGGTCTCGCCTTCTCTTCAGTTGTCACCTCTATATGTTCATGTAGCATCTCACTCTTCCCTTAACCCTTGGGAAGTTCCAACGGTTTTTGTCTGTTCTTCCTCACTGCCATGTGCGAAAGCCCAAATACCTATGGTTGCTCCTCACTCTCTTTTTTTTTAATCACTTCTGGTTTCATTCTCATGCCATCACAGTGTACACCGATGGTTCCAAGTCTTCTGACGATGTCGAATTTGCAGCAATCTTTCCTGACAGCATTGTGCGAGGGCATTTATTGGCCTTGGCTAGCATTATTACAGCTGAATTGTATGCAATCCTCGTAGCACTTATCCATATTGCATCTATGCCTGTGTTGCCATTTTGGTAGTTTCAGACTCCTTTAGTACTTTGCACACTAAAAGAAAATTTGATTCTTCGTATACATAAGAACATAAGAATGGAGGAACACTGCAGAAGGCCTACTGGCCCATGCGAGGCAGGTCCTTATCAAAACGACCTCTACCTAAAGCTACCCAAGAAATAACTCCTGTACCCAATGACACCAATCAAACCCAGCCCCTCCCACTCATATATTTGTCCAGTCTCTTCTTAAAGCTACCCGAAGTCCTAGCCTCTATCACCCCACTGGGAAGACTTTGGTTATGCTGTATCTCTAGCAAGCACAAAGATATTGTTTTTATTGGGTCACTGGTCATGTTGACGTACAGGGCAATGAACAAGCGGACGCTGCGCGGTCATAAGAACATAAGAACATAAGAAAGGAGGAACACTGCAGCAGGCCTGTTGGCCCATACTAGGCAGGTCCTTTACAATTCATCCCACTAACAGTACGTGACCTCCCAGTTTCATATAGAGGTGTTCCATACACAGACTATTTTGCTGTAATTTCTAACCACCTTCACAACCGTTAGTCTGATCTGCTAGATAACAAATAACATTCTATTAAACCAAGTATAGGTTTCTGGCCATGGTTGGGAGACTACACTCTCCGTCTTCACATCAAACACAGTTGTCTTACTGTTCCACTCTGTGAGAATTGTCAGGCTCCAGTTTCTGTTAACCATATTCTGTTGGACTGTCCAGTCTATCGAGCACGCAAAATTTACCTCTGACGTCATCACCGCTCTAATGCCCTTCCTTACTGTATCTTCCTTCCTTGATGACGGACCCAGCTTAGACTTTCTCGTTGATTTTGTGACAGCAACTGATTTACTGCACAAACTTTGATGATGATGCCTTTAGCACTTCTCACAGCCCTTTCTGCCTCTCCCTCCTGCTACCCTATACCCCAGCACTCTCCTCTACCCCAGCACTCTCCTCTACCCCAGCACTCTCCTCTACCCCAGCACTCTCCTCTACCCCAGCACTCTCCTCTTACCCCAGCACTCTCCTCTACCCCAGCACTCTCCTCTACCCCAGCACTATCCTCTACCCCAGCACTCTCCTCTACCCCAGCACTCTCCTCTACCCCAGCACTCTCCTCTACCCCAGCACTCTCCTCTACCCCAGCACTATCCTCTACCCCAGCACTCTCCTCTACCCCAGCACTCTCCTCTACCCCAGCACTCTCCTCTACCCCAGCACTCTCCTCTACCCCAGCACTCTCCTCTACCCCAGCACTCTCCTCTACCCCAGCACTATCCTCTACCCCAGCACTATCCTCTACCCCAGCACTATCCTCTACCCCAGCACTCTCCTCTACCCCAGCACTCTCCTCTACCCCAGCACTATCCTCTACCCCAGCACTCTCCTCTACCCCAGCACTCTCCTCTACCCCAGCACTCTCCTCTACCCCAGTACTCTCCTCTACCCCAGCACTCTCCTCTACTCCAGCACTCTCCTCTACCCCAGCACTCTCCTCTACCCCAGCACTCTCCTCTACCCCAGCACTCTCCTCTACCCAGCACTCTCCTCTACCCCAGTACTCTCCTCTACCCTAGCACTCTCCTCTACCCCAGCACTCTCCTCTACCCCAGCACTCTCCTCTACCCCAGCACCTCTCCTCTACCCCAGCACTCTCCTCTACCCCAGCACTCTCCTCTACCCCAGCACTATCCTCTACCCCAGCACTCTCCTCTACCCCAGCACTCTCCTCTACCCCAGCACTCTCCTCTACCCCAGCACTCTCCTCTACCCCAGCACTCTCCTCTACCCCAGCACTCTCCTCTACCCCAGCACTCTCCTCTACCCCAGCACTATCCTCTACCCCAGCACTCTCCTCTACCCCAGCACTCTCCTCTACCCCAGCACTATCCTCTACCCCAGCACTCTCCTCTACCCAGCACTCTCCTCTACCCCACACTCTCCTCTACCCCAGCACTCTCCTCTACCCCAGCACTATCCTCTACCCCAGCACTCTCCTCTACCCCAGCACTCTCCTCTACCCCAGCACTATCCTCTACCCCAGCACTCTCCTCTACCCCAGCACTCTCCTCTACCCCAGCACTATCCTCTACCCCAGCACTCTCGTCTACCCCAGCACTCTCCTCTACCCCAGCACTCTCCTCTACCCCAGCACTCTCCTCTACCCCAGCACTCTCCTCTACCCAGCACTCTCCTCTACCCCAGCACTATCCTCTACCCCAGCACTATCCTCTACCCCAGCACTCTCCTCTACCCCAGCACTCTCCTCTACCCCAGCATTATCCTCTACCCCAGCACTCTCCTCTACCCCAGCACTCTCCTCTACCCAGCACTATCCTCTACCCCAGCACTATCCTCTACCCCAGCACTCTCGTCTACCCCAGCACTCTCCTCTACCCCAGCACTCTCCTCTACCCCAGCACTCTCCTCTACCCCAGCACTCTCCTCTACCCCAGCACTCTCCTCTACCCCAGCACTATCCTCTACCCCAGCACTCTCCTCTACCCCAGCACTCTCCTCTACCCCAGCACTCTCCTCTACCCCAGCACTCTCCTCTACCCCAGCACTCTCCTCTACCCCAGCACTCTCCTCTACCCCAGCACTATCCTCTACCCCAGCACTCTCCTCTACCCCAGCACTCTCCTCTACCCCAGCACTCTCCTCTACCCCAGCACTCTCCTCTACCCCAGCACTCTCCTCTACCCCAGCACTCTCCTCTACCCCAGCACTATCCTCTACCCCAGCACTCTCCTCTACCCCAGCACTATCCTCTACCCCAGCACTCTCCTCTACCCCAGCACTCTCCTCTACCCCAGCACTCTCCTCTACCCCAGCACTCTCCTCTACCCCAGCACTCTCCTCTACCCCAGCACTCTCCTCTACCCCAGCACTCTCCTCTACCCCAGCACTCTCCTCTACCCCAGCACTCTCCTCTACCCCAGCACTCTCCTCTACCCCAGCACTCTCCTCTACCCCAGCACTATCCTCTACCCCAGCACTCTCCTCTACCCCAGCACTCTCCTCTACCCCAGCACTCTCCTCTACCCCAGCACTCTCCTCTACCCCAGCACTCTCCTCTACCCCAGCACTCTCCTCTACCCCAGCACTCTCCTCTACCCCAGCACTCTCCTCTACCCCAGTACTCTCCTCTACCCCAGCACTCTCCTCTACCCAGCACTCTCCTCTACCCCAGCACTCTCCTCTACCCCAGCACTCTCCTCTACCCCAGCACTCTCCTCTACCCCGCTGCACTGTATGACCCTTGTAGGTTCAGTGCTTCTGTTTTTATAATAATAATGTTCCTTGTCATGATGTATTATGTTGTTTTTACTGCTTAAGACTACAAATGTAACAAAAATAATAACATTTCTTACCCTTAATTGTGGGTGCTGGTGTTTGTGGATGACTGTGAAGAGAGTGGAGTTTACCTGGAGAGGGTTTCGGGGGTTAACGCCCCCGCGGCTCGGTCTGAGACCAGGCCTCGTGGTGGATCAGGGTCTGATCTACCAGGCTGTTACCGCTGGTCACACGCAAACTGACGTACGAACCACAGCCTAGTTGGTCAGGTATTGACTTAAGGTGCCTGTCCAGTGCCTTCTTGAAGACAACCAGGGGTCAGATTGAGACACTTATGCAGCATATGGAAATCTTTATTCAGGAAACGTTTCGCCACACAGTGGCTTCATCAGTCCAATACAAAGAGGAAGGCGTAAGGAGAGGAGGAGAATGAGGTAATCAGTCCCTCAACCTGGAGTCGATGTGTTCAGTCCATCAATCTTGTACACATCGACTCCAGGTTGAGGGACTGATTACCTCATTCTCCTCCTCTCCTTACGCCTTCCTCTTTGTATTGGACTGATGAAGCCACTGTGTGGCGAAACGTTTCCTGAATAAAGATTTCCATATGCTGCATAAGTGTCTCAATCTTCAACTTGTCGGTTTTTCAAACCATTCATCACAACCAGGGGTCAATTGGTAGTCCCCCTTATGTATGCTGGGAGGCAGTTGAATAGTCTTGGGCTCCAGACACTTACTGTGTTGTCTCTCAGCGTACTCGCGGCGCCCCTGCTTTTCACTGGGGAAATGTTGCATCTCCTGTCGAGTCTTTTGCTTTCATAGGGAGTGATTTTCATGTGCAAGTTTGGTACTAATCCTTCTAGGATTTTCCAAGTGTATATTATAATGTATCTCTCTCGCCTGCATTCCAGGGAATACAAACCAAGGGCCTTCAACCGTTCCCAGTAATTTAGGTGCCTTATTGTACCTACGTGTGCCATGAAAGTTCTTTGTACACTCTCCAGGTCAGCGATTTCGCCTGCCTTGAAAGGGGCAGTTAGTGTACAGTAGTATTCCAATCTAGAGAGAACAAGTGATTTCAAGAGAATCATCATGGGCTTGGCATCCCTAGTTTTGAAGGTTCTCATTATCCATCCTATCATTTTCCTAGCAGATGCGGTAGGTACATTGTTGTGGTTTTTGAAGGAGCGATCATCTGACATTTTCACTCCCAGGTCCTTCATATTACTTTCTCGCTTTATTGTATGGTTAGAATTTGTTGTATACCTTGATAGTTTTAATTTCCTAAAGTTGTCCATATCTGAGTAGTTGAAATTTCTCTTCATATTGTTTTGAGTGGACCATTTGAAGATTTGGTTGATGTCCACTTGGAGTTTTTCCTGTGTCTTCGATGGAGGTCATTGTCATGGCAGTCCGGGTGCCATACGGAAAGAAAGACATGGAGCTATGGAGTTATGCTGTGGCCCTACTGGGCTGAGGTGGATGGTAGATTATTATTATAATCAAAAAGAAACGCTAAACCACAAGGAAGGTGGATGGTAGAGGTTCTGGTACTGAAGTCGATGGTTGTACTGGAGTGTGCATAAATTCTGTAATGTATTTCGGGGTATTTTACCCTGCAGTACATTATACAGCTGAGGGTAAGGTATCAGCTGCTCTAGACATCCTTTCAGAGCAATGCTGCTAGATTTGTCAGGGTCCTCTTCAGTAAAAAAGTCTAACTTTAAGTCAGTAAATCAGTAAAGCCAGTCAGTATGTGAGTCAATTAAGTCAGTCAGTAAAGTCAGTAGGTCAGTCAAATAAGTCTATCAATAACTCAATCAAGTCAAACAAGTCTATCAATAGCTCAGTCAAGTCAAATAAGTCTATCAATAGCTCAGTCAAGTCAAATAAGTCTGTCTGTCAGTCATATAAGTCAGCCAAGTGTCAATAAGTTAGTCAGTCAGACAAGTAAATCTGTTAGTAAGTCAGTCAACCAAATATGTCAGTAAGTCAGTCAAATCAAATGAGTCAGTCAAATAAGTCAGTAAAGTCAGCCAGTAAATCAGTCAAGTCTGTGAATAAGTCAGTCAAGTCAAATAAGTCAGTCAAGTAAATTTGTCAGTAAGTCTATCAGTCAAATAAGTCAGTCAGTTATTCATCACACAAACACGTATATTTACATCATTCTTCTTAACTGTACAAAACTGATTCTTCATTAAGTTCAAATTAATAAATAAATAAAAAAGTCCGTAGGTCCTCTCTCATTTAATATCTATTTTTCCTTCCTCATAACTAAAGATTTAAACGCTTAACCATGTCTTGCCACTTTCAGCAACACTGATATACCTACTGGGTGCCATGATTGCATAACAGATACAAAATATGGTAATTAAACGATCAAAACACAGTTCACAAACACAGCTAGCTTCTAGTAGAAAATCTGGACACGTATTCACAGGATGTCTGGGATGGAAGTGTCGGTGGTACCAGTGGATGGTGGAAGGTCTTCCCCCGCTGACACAATGGTCTGACCCACAACATAACAACACCTTCATCTGGGGATATTTTTTTTCCCCGCCAGCAAACGGAACCAAGTTAATTTTACGAAGTGTATAAAATTGTGCCGCAATTTTTTTTATAGCGTGATAAGGAAATTGTGGCAAATAAATGTGTGTAATATAACGGTCTAGTTCCTTGTTCCTCTATTTTAATTCCTCCAGAGGTTCTTAACAACACTGTGATGGCCTAGTAACGACCCACCTAACACTAAGATATGTGGAGACCCAGAATGATATAAATCAGCTGCAGAAATCACCCGAAATACGCTATATAACCAATTAAGAAGACTTGTGTTACCACCACCTACCCCACTGCCAGGCGAAGTTCATTTCATTCATTCACTTGAGATTCGCCGGTACTTCCGGCCCGGGTCTTTTCCATATGGCGACCCGGCTGCCAGGCGAAGTGAACTTTTCAACAACTGCACATAACCCATCGCCTCTAGTTCATCTGAAACCATTAGTCAACGGTCAGGGGTCAGGGCAACGGAAGAAGACCCAGTAATCAACCCAGGACTCATAACACCACAGGTGAAAGAACCTTTTATTGTACAGCAATAAAGAAATGGAACAGATTGCCTGCACATGTCAAAGCCAGTCATAGCATGAACCAGTTCGAGAAGAGAGCCAAAAGTTACCTAATGAATGTAGCGACAGAAAGGAAGGAGAATGATTTTTTATTTTTTTAGCTAACACTCATGTAAAAGTAAATAACTCTATTTACCTTATTCCTAGTACATATCCTTTATAGTATAATAATATCTCCTACATTGTATAATAATAAGGTATTAAAAGGACCCCAACGGAAATAAATCACTTTGACTTTTTTGGGTTATCCCAGGTTCTCTACACATATGTTGCTATGTATGATAGTCTATGTAACTGTATTTGTGTATACCTGGGTAAACTTACTACAAGTAAAACGTCTACTGCCAGCCAGAAGGACGCGAACCTCACCACCCATCGTCACATTATTATTATTAACTAGTTGTCTTTGTAAAACTTTTGAAAGAATGATGCTTAACAGACTGTACTACAGAATCAGACATCAACTTTCCCCCTACCTCTATGGGTTCATGAAAGGTAAAAGTGTGCAGAACTGTATTTCCACCTTTCTCACTGCACACACCTCTACTAGTTTTACCACTTTTCTTGATCTAAAATCTGCATTTGATATTGCGAACAGAACCGTTATACTACATGAACTAGCCAAAATGAATATTGGTGGTAGCTTACTCTGCTGGATAATAGGATACCTGTCAAATAGAGCATCCTCTGTCCTTTACCAAGGCTTCAGAAGTGATTCTAAAGAAATGTCTTTAGGTACACCCTGAGCTGCTTTGGGGATTAGAGTGGACGGTTACAAAGCATGGCTTGCTTCTGCAGTGTTTTAAAAATTGAGGTTGGAGAGTTGAAGGAAGAGGTCTTGCTTCTCCAGGAGGAGATTAGGAGGCTGAAGGTCCACCTCAATGGGTCTGGGAGAGAGTGTGAGATGGCTGGAGTTGTGGGGAATGAGGCTTCTAGCAGTGAGGTGCAGTCTGTCTCTCGCTGTGAGGAGGCTGTAGGTGGGGAGGTAGCAACGGCTATCAGCAGTGAGGTGCAGCCCAGCACCTGCTACAAGTGGCGAGTGGTTCAAGTAATGGGAGGCGCATCAGAGTAAGGAAGTTAAGAGTGAAGATCTGAAGGTAGGAAATCGCTTCTCTGTTCTTCAGGATGAATGTACTTCAGCGGCCAGTGAAGGTAATGGTACTACTGCCCCTGCTAATGGAGGTAAGCGCATTCTTGTGGTTGGTGACTCTCAGGTAAGATATATTGACCGTGCTTTTTGTAATAGGAATAAGAAGATGAGAGATAGAGTGGCTTCCCTGGAGCTGGTGTTGGGGACATTGTCAACAGGCTGGATAATATCATGTCAGGTAATGGGAACAAGCCCATTATCTGTCTCAGTGCTGGTGGAAATGATATTGGGAAGGGTAGGAGAGAAGAGCTGCTAGATAAGTACAGGTCAGCTATAGATTTCATTAAGTCTAAGGGAGGGATCCCAATCATATGTAGCATCTTGCCTAGAAGGGGAGTAGGAAATGAATGGGTGTCTAGGGCAATTGGTGTAAATTGCTGGCTAGACAGATACTGCAAGGAACTTGCAATCCCATTCATTGACAACTGGAACAACTTTTATGGCAAACATGATATGTATGCAAGGGATGGGGTACATCTCTCTGGGGCAGGGGTGGTAGCACTTGCAGACTCGATTGAGAAGGCCATTGGTGAAATGCCTATGATTTTAAACTGATGGAAGATAGAGGTATAACTGAAGTTATAAATAAAGACAATAGATCAGGTCAGCAAACAAAGGGGGACAGCAGAGGGCAGCAAGGGACTAGCTCCCTTAAGGTTTACTATACTAATAGCAGGAGTGTAAGAAATAAGATAGATGAGCTAAGATTAATTGCAAGTGCAGGAAACATATATATTATTGCTATAACAGAGACCTGGCTCAATCTGAAAGATAGAGAGATGCCCTCTGAATGTCACATACAAGGCTATAAATTATTCCACACTGACAGGGCCAACAGGAAAGGTGGTGGAGTAGCGATGTATGTCAGAGACAATTTAAATTGTTGTGTTAGACAAGATATTAAATTAGAAGCGTCAGCCACTGAATCTGTTTGGTTACAGCTTCTCGAGGGCCGAGAAAAACTAATTTTGGGTGTGATTTACAGGGCCCCAAATCTTGATAGGGAGTGCAGTAAACTTCTATGGGACGAAATTAATAAGGCATCTACATACGAAAATGTTGTGCTAATGGGAGATTTCAACTATAGACAGATTGACTGGAGCAATTTGACAGGAAATTTAGAATCAGGTGACTTTCTTGATACGATCCAGGATTGTTTTTTAAAACAGTTTGTGACAGAGCCAACTAGGGGAAATAACCTCCTTGACTTGGTTCTTGCCAGTAGGGAAACACTAATTAATAATCTTGAGGTTAATGATGAGCTTGGGGAAAGTGATCACAAATCCCTCAGTTTTAATATATCATGGAATTCCCTTAATAACGGCAATCAAGTCTCCGTCCCTGACTTTCGCTTGGCTGATTTCATAGGACTGAAAAATTACTTAGGTGGGCTGAACTGGAATGACCTGACTAAGGGTCAGGTAGGTGGTGATGGTTGCCGATATGATGCTTTCCAGGGCATAGTTCTAGCTGCTCAATCAAATTATGTTCCAAATAGGGAAATCAGATCAAACAAAAATGATCCTAAATGGATGAACAATAGATTTTAAAAAATCTGACTGGTCAAAAGAGAGGCATATATAGGCAAATCAAAAGAGGAGAGGGGCAATTAAGAAATCGATATATTCAGTTAAAGAGAGAAATAAAAAAGGGAATTAGAAAAGCAAAAAGAGATTATGAGGTTAAAGTTGCAAGAGAATCGAAGACTAACCCAAAAGGATTCTTTCAGGTATACAGAAGTAAGATCAGGGACAAGATAGGCCCACTCAAAAGTTCCTCGGGTCAGCTCACTGACAGTGATAAGGAAATGTGTAGAATTTTCAACACATACTTCCTCTCAGTTTTTACACAGGAGGATTCCAGTAATGATAAATTATGTAGAACAGGACGATAATAAACTGTGCACGATTAGGGTCACAAGTGACATGGTCCTTAGGCAAATAGATAAATTAAAACCTAACAAATCCCCAGGCCCTGATGAACTGTATGCAAGGGTTCTAAAGGAATGTAAAGAGGAGCTTAGCACACCTTTGGGTAATCTTTTCAACATATCACTACAAACTGGCATGGTGCCAGATAAGTGGAAAATGGCAAATGTGATACCTATTTTCAAAAGGTAAGGTCCCCTTTCTTCGAACTATAGACCAATAAGCCTAACCCCCAGAGTTTTGATGAGGTGGGTTGACTTGCGTGTACAACGTGCGGTGTGTACTTTGGGTGGCCGATTATATTTTCTTATCATGGGCTATGAGGACGTTGAGGGTTACAGTAGAATTTAGGGTTTTAGCGGGGACGATTTATAGGACAAAATGTCGAGATTAGTCACGAGGGAGCATTCACCAAATTCAACTTCAATAACAAAAACATAAAGTGGGACCAAGTAAACCAAGTCCTAACCGATATAAGCTGGGAAGATATACTAAGCAACACAGACCCCAACATATGCCTAGAACAGATTAACTTGGTGGCACTCGATGTATGCACAAGGCTTATTCCTCTAAGAAAAAGGAGGAGTAGATGTAAAATAGAAAGAGACGGGGGCGCTCCCTTTACAGGCGATGGAAAAGAATAACAGAGTGGCTAAAAGAGGTCAATATATCTGAAATGCGTAGGGAGACACTGGTCAGAGAAATAGCAAGTATCGAACTTAAGCTAAAGGAATCTTATAGGAGTCAGGAATCGCAGGAAGAACTAAAAGCCATAAATGAAATCGAAAGAAACCCAAAATATTTCTTCTCCTATGCCAAATCAAAGTCGAGAACAACGTCCAGTATTGGGCCCCTACTTAAACAAGATGGGTCCTACACAGATGACAGCAAGGAAATGAATGAGCTACTCAAGTCCCAATATAACTCAGTTTTTAGCAAGCCGCTAACCAGACTGAGAGTCGAAGATCAAAATGAATTTTTTATGGGAGAGCCACAGAATTTGGTTAACACAAGCCTATCCGATGTTATCCTGACGCCAAATGACTTCGAACATGCGATAAATGACATGCCCATGCACTCTGCCCCAGGGCCAGACTCATGGAACTCCGTGTTCATCAAGAACTGCAAGAAGCCCCTATCACGAGCCTTTACCATCCTATGGAGAGGGAGCATGGACACGGGGGTCGTCCCACAGTTACTAAAAACAACAGACAGCCCCACTCCACAAAGGGGGCAGTAAAGCAACAGCAAATAACTACAGACCGATAGCACTAACATCCCAT